ATATATATATATATATATATATATATATAATGTGAACCACGGCATTCTTGTGCTACATAAGCAAGGGAGAAACTCAGGGTCCCTGGAACGCTCGCCCTGATCACGCTGCTTTCTCTACTGCCGATTTCTTTTCCCCGGTTCCGTCCCAGACACATTATATTTGAGATGACTTTTCTGAGGTGATCTAATCCTGCTGTTCCTTCCGTGTTTTACGAATTATATTTTTCATTCACTCATGGAGCTTTGTGTTTGTGGCACCTCCGCCACCGGACAGGCAGGACCTAGTGCTGGGGTTCCTGAAAAATAGGACCAAGCCGTGACAGCAGCCTACGGGAGGAGAGAAGTAAGAGTAAACAAAGGGACAGGCAGAGTTCAGGAGGTGGAAAGTGATGAGAAAAAGAAAATGATTGCTTGAAACTGTTCGATTCTTTCTCTAAAACCAGGTCTCATCCGGAAGACGGATCGGCTTCTGGGGGAGAGAAGGAAGGGGATGATGGAGGCGACATGGTAAAATTCCCTGTGGGAAGTGATTCTGGGCTTGTGTTTACTAGGAATTAAAGAGAATTAGAGGCCAGGCACGGTGGCTCATGCCTGTAATCCCAGCACGTTGGGAGGCCGGGGCAGGTGGATCATCTGAGGTCAGGAGTTTGAGACCACCCAGGCCAACGTGATAAAACCCCATCTCTACTGAAAACATAAAAATTAGCCAGGCCGGGTGGTGTGCACCTGTAATCCCAGCTATTCGGGAGGCTGAGACAAGAGAATCACTTGAACCTAGGAGGTGGAGGTTGCAGTGAGCCAAGAACGTGCCATTGCACTCCAGCCTGGGCGACAGCCCGAGACTCTGTCACCAAAAAAAAAAAAAAGAAAGAAAGAAAAGAAAAGAAGAAAGAACAGATACACTGAAGCATGAAACGTGATTTCTTAGTGATGGTGAGAAGGGTATAAATGCAGTTTTCCCATTGGTGAAATTACGCTGTAAAGAATAAAACCTCACAAGGTCCTTTAGACTTTGTTTCCTGATTTGTTTCCTGCCTCACCTTTGCAGGGGTCACCACTACAGAACAACAATGGCCAGAAAAGTGAAGAAGCTGTTGGTAGCACAGAGCGTCCTGAAGAAGTCACAGTCCCGGCGGAGGCTGCAATTGAAGAGGAGATCGAGGCTGAAGGGGACGTTGCAGTCCGAGAGGAAGCCACAGTGGAAAAGGAAGAGGAAGAGGAAATTGAGTCCTACGGAGATGCTGAAAGCGAACAGGAATATTACTTTATGGAACCTGCATCCCCCAAAAGGGAAATCAGTGCTGCATCTACGACTTACTCATATGTCAGTCCTCCTGGGGAGCTGCCCGGAGAGGAGTCATATGAGAGGGTGAGCGGGGAGGCTGGCCTCGAAGGCTCCCACGCAGAGGCCACAGGTCCATCAGAATCCAGAGAAGGGAGCGTCACCTCTGCAGAGCCATCCCACGGAGGCTTAGGCCCGACGGTGCAAACGGGCCAGGTCAGCCCTGGGCCAGCAGTGGGCAGATTGGTGAGTAGCCCTGAGTTCTGCTTCGTGCCAGTGTCTCACAGCCCACAGGGTTTGTCACCCTATGTAGGGAACTTGGGATATACTATAAATACAAACTGCAATCCCTGTTAGAAATTTCTCAGCAAGGCCAGGTGCGGTGGCTCACACCTGTAATCCCAGCACTTTGGGAGGCCAAAGTGGGTGGATCACCTGAGGTCAGGAATTCGAGACCAGCCTGGCCAATATGGTGAAACCCCATCGCTACTAAAAATATAAAAAATTAGCCAGGTGTAATGGTCCACACTTGTCCCAGTTACTCGGGAGGCTGAGGCAGGAGAATCACTTGAATCCAGGAAGCGGAGGTTGCAGTGATCTGAGATCGCGCCCCTGCACTCCAGCCTGGGCAACAGAGTGAGACTCCATCTCAAAAAAACGAATAAAGAAGACTGTGTTTTCCTTTTTAGTTAGTTAATCTGGTAGATTACATTGACTGATTTTCAGAAGCTAAAGCAACCCTGCATTCTGAGATAAACACAGGGAGCGCTTTGGAGCGATGTGAATGTCCGTTCCTCATTAAACCCTCGGATTATTCGTATTCTTCCACCTGCATAGACTCAGGGCTCTCCGTGTGATTCACTGGGTTATAACACATCCTGTCATTATGTATTTTGGTGCTCAGCTTGGCCAGTGAGAGCCACTGAAAGCAGCTTTTGTGCCCTCCGAGGCGCCTCCATCCTTCTGTGAGGACTCCCTTGCTTGCTGGCATAGACGGCCCAGCCTCAGAATCAGACATTCCTCCAGGAGCCCTGTTTCTGTTAGTGGAAAGTAGAGGTTAGAAGGTATGACTTGGGTGCTGGGGTCCTCGTGGACGCTGGGGTGTCTGTCCCCAGGCCCTCTTGGGGGCAGGAGATAGGGTGTGTGTGCTTGTGCTGCACAGACTTCCCCCACATGTATACATGCAACATGTGTGCAGACATACACTCACATCTGTATTTATCGGCATACATCCTCTCCCCGGCCTTGGCTCACAACAGTACCTCTAATTCCATCTCACCTCCATAGGGGATCCCTCCCGATTTTCTGCTCTTCCTTTTTTTTTTTGAAACAGAGTCTCACCCAAGTAGTTGGTACTACAGGCACTCACCATCATGCCTGGCTAATTTCTGCATTTTTCGTAGAGAGGGGGTTTCACCATGTTGCCCAGGCTGGTCTCGAAATCCTGGGCTCAGTCAGTCCTCCCACCTCGGCCTCCCAAAGTGCTGGGATTACAGGCATGAGCCACGGTGCCCAGCCTCCTCTTCCGTATGTGTAGCTCCTTTCTCCCACAGGGAGAAGCCTCTCGCATGATCCTCACTGTGCTCACTGATGCGGTCCATCCCCCTGCACGCCACCAGCCCCTACCTTGACTGCCTTGGCTGCCCCCGTCCCCAGCATAGCTTAGGTTTCGATTGATCTGGAAGGGGAGATAGGAGTGTGGAAGGGAGGTGGGGGAAGAGGATGCTTTATACTTCCGAGCTCTGACTATGGGCTTGACACTGTTCCCTACCTGGATCTGTGTTGTCTCAAAATCCTGACAGCCCTGCGAGGTAGGAACTGTGATGTGCCCAT